TTTTTTTTTTTTCTTTTATCTGTTCTTCATGGTTCGTATTTTTTGTTTCTTTTTCCTTAATTTTTTCATTGTGTTTTATGGTATCTTTCTTGGGTTTGGAAAATATGGCCTCTGTATCATTCGCAGATTTTCAAGATTTGTTTGCTTTTCCTGAGGTTCGACTTGATGGGTTTGTGCCCTCCTATGATATGAAAACGACCTATGAAGAAAGTTGCTATATTTGTGAAAACAAAACCTTTTCTTTGTTCCACTTTCTGAAGAAAGTTGCTGTATTTGTCTGCTTTGTGGATGTATATACCAAGTTGTTCGAAATCTCGACAAAAAATATGATAGTAATTAGTCTAGAGCTCTGAGTTTTTTTTCCTTTGTTTTTTTTTTCCCTTTTCTTTCTTGTGTCTTTCACCTTTTCCAAGGAGAGTAATTTAAAGCCTCTTGTTATTTTAGACTGTTCAAACAAATTTCGTTTTTACACTTGATTTAAAGGGATTAATAATTTGATTTTCTTGTGTGCTCTGGTTTTCTTGGTTTTCTGTTCAAATTGAAGTGGGCTTGTGAATACTGCAACTAGGATACTGCCTATTGGTATAATTATAATTTAATATGGTGATGTGGTTTTGCGTTTTTGCATGCTTGTACAGTAATCAACTTCAATCTGAGGATTATGTTGATGAACTCTTGATAGTAAAAAAAGTGATTTGGAATCCCTGATGTCAATTTTTCATGTTATCTTAACTGTTTTCAGGAAAAATGGACAATCGAAAAGCGGAAAAACTACCACCACCGCCGCCATTACCTGCAAAAGGTGTGCCGGAAAAACTACCACCACCACCACCGCCATTACCTCCAAAAGGTGTGCCCGAAAAAGCCGGCAGAAGTAAACGTCTTCCAATGGCCAGGCGGGGATTGGGTTCGAGAGGACAAAACATCTCACTCTTGACCAACCACTTCAAAGTCTCCGTATCAAAGACCGATGGTTCTTTCTACCATTACAGTGTATGTTTAGTCTTCTCACTATTATCTCGATGTTTGTTGAAATATAGTCTTGAATCATTACAATGTTGCTAAATCAAGTAGTGTTTACACTGTTGTTTAAATTTTTTGTTTTCTTTTCTTTTAATTCTTTCTGGTGTAGGTCACGATCAAATACGAAGACGATACCCCTGTCGACGCAAAAGGAGTCGGACGAAAGATCATTGACCAGGTCTATGAGACCTACAACACCGAGCTTGCCGGCAAAAGATTCGCGTACGATGGTGAGAAAAGCTTGTTCAGTGTGGGTCCTCTGCCTCATAACAAGCTCGAATTTACCGTGGTCATGTCCGAAGTGTCATCGAGCAGGTAAATAGTAATTCCTAGTTTTAAGTAGTTTCTTTTGGTTAATTTGTTAAGTCCCAGCTTAATGTTTAGAACAATTAACTGTAGTAGGGGTACTGGGAATCATAGTCCAGAAGCTGATGGTAGCCCAAGTGAAAGTGATCGCAAGAGATCAAGAAGGCGGCCTCATACCAAAACATACAAAGTGGCCATTAACTTTGCTGCCAAGATCCCAATGTCAGCAATAGCAAATGCACTTCGTGGCCATGAGACCGAACATTTTCAAGAGGCTGTGAGAGTTCTTGATATCATGTTGAGGCAGAATGCCGCACAAAAGTGAGTAGCCCTTTTATATATTTTTAAATTATTAATATCATTTTTTATGCGGGTTTATGGTTAAGTTTCGGCAAAAACTAACAATCTTTTTTGTTCTTGTGCTAAAGGGGCTGTCTTTTGGTGCGGCAGTCTTTTTTCCACAATGAACCGAGGAACTTTGTGGACTTGGGGGGTGGTGTGGTTGGCTGTAGGGGATTTCATTCTAGCTTTAGGGCCACTCAAGGTGGTCTTTCTTTGAATATGGGTAAGTTTTTGTAGAAATAACAATAAACATATAGTTCTATCTTCTATGAAAAAGCTCTTACGGTAAGTAACGTTGACTTGTGCAGATGTATCGACTACAATGATTGTGAAGCCTGGGCCAGTAGTTGAATTCCTTCTTTCAAATCAAAAAATTGATCATCCCGACAGGATTGATTGGGTTAAGGTAATCTCAATCTGCTTCTCGTTCTAGGTAATAGTTTGTGATGAACTTGATGTCTTTTGTGTTCTTGCAAGCTCCTAACTCATTTAAATAACAGGCAAAGAGAATGCTGAAGAATCTGAGGATCAAGACAACCAACACAAATATGGAATACAAGATTTATGGTTTGAGTGATATGATATGCAGGGAACAAACGTGAGCTCTACATTATTATTATTATTATTATTATTATTATTATTATTATTATTATTATTATTATTATTATTATTATTATTATTATTATTATTATTATTATTATTATTATTATTATTAACTAAGATGTCCTCCTATTATAGCACTTGGTGTAATCAATAACATAGCAGTTAATTTGCAACTTTTTCATGTTTTTCAGATTCTTACTGAAACAAGGAAGAGCTGGTGGGTCAAGTGAACCACAGGAACTTAATGTGACTGTGTATGAGTATTTTGTCCAACATCGTAATATCCGGCTCAAGTACTCTGGGGACTATCCTTGTGTGAATGTTGGCAAACCAAAGCGTCCTGTTTACATACCTATCGAGGTTGATATTTTCCAAATTAAGGCTTTAAAACTACATACTATTTTTATATTACTATATTAATTTCGGACTTGTTTCTTCTCCATTTTGTAGCTATGCACGTTGGTCTCCTTACAACGTTATACCAAATCCTTGTCCAATCTACAGAGAGCCTCTCTTGTAGAAAAATCTCGTCAGAAGCCACAAGAGAGGATGAACGCCTTACAGCAAGTGAGGATAAGTTAGCTGAAGTTAAATAACTTACGAAATTGTTTCTTATTGTTTTTTTCCTGACAAATGTTGAGGCACAATGCAGGCATTCAGCAGCAGCAAGTATTCTGCCGATCCTCTTCTAGTATCTTCCGGCATTACAATCAGCACTGACTTCACTCGAATCCAAGGCAGAGTTTTGGCAGCTCCCAAGGTATGTGCTGCAGGGCAGTCTTGTGTTTGTTAACTGTGTGCAATAATGGTTTTTTGGTCATGCTACTGTAAAAGCTCAATATCCGAGATGCATTCCTTTAAGTTTATTTTTGTGTTTCATCACAGTTAAGAGTTGGTAAAGGGGAGGACTTTGTCCCAAGCAGAGGGCGGTGGAACTTTAATTATAAGGTATATCTTTATTTCTTCAGTCTCTATGAAAATGTCTGTGTTGAATCATGTTTTGATTGAAAAATAAAATAAACTCATGCAGCACCTGGTTGAGCCTGTAAAGCTCGAGAGGTGGATCGTAGTGAACTTTTCTGCACGGTGTCACATGGAAAAACTATGCGAGGACCTGATAAGATGTGGGCAGATGAAAGGCATAGTGAGTATATCAGCCATCATTATTGTATTGTATAGATTATTATACAGTGGGAAGTTGCATAGTTATCCTTCTCTAGACTAACTGAATATTTTCTATTCTGATTTTCTAGTCAATAACTCGACCTTATGAGGTGTTTCAAGAGAGGACAGAATATAGAAATGCCCCTCCTACTGTTAGGGTAGATAAGATGTTTGAGATGATCAAGGCACGACTTCCCGGAACTCCTCAGTTCATCCTCTGCCTTTTGTCAGACAGGAAAAACTCCGATGTTTATGGTAATTATTTTGACATTCTTCAAGTAGTTTGATACATTTTTCTGATTTATTTATTTACTTATTTGTTTGATTTGCAAGGCCCATGGAAGATGAAAAATCTCTCTGAATTCGGGATAGTGACTCAGTGCATTGCTCCCACACGGGTCAACGATCAGTACCTGACGAATGTTCTTCTGAAGATCAATGCCAAGGTAAGTTTCGTTTTCTCTGTCTTGTGCATAGTTGCTGCATATTGTCAATTCTTGAAATTTAGATCTATTTTACCATTGTTTATGCTCTTATTAATTTTTGTTTAACTATATTCATCCCACAGCTTGGTGGCATCAACTCACTGTTGACAATCGAGCATACTTCAAATATACCCCTCGTTTCTCAAGTCCCCACGCTGATAATCGGGATGGATGTCTCGCATGGCTCTCCCGGTCGATCGGATGTTCCATCTATTGCTGCCGTATGTCATTTTCTTTAAACCTGATGCCCATCAGCCCATCATTTTTTTTTTTCCAAATGTGAACCAATCTAAAAAAATGTCCTCTTTTTTTGCCTGTTTGAAATGTATTATTATTAGGTGGTTAGTTCAAGGCATTGGCCGCTCATATCTAAATACCGAGCAGCAGTTCGTACTCAGTCGCCAAAGATGGAGATGGTCGATTCCCTTTTCAAGAAAGTGTCCGATAATGAGGACAAAGGCATTTTCAGGTAAATTGCATGTTCAAGCCATGCAAAAATATTGTACCACTTGCTTATTCAGCTGTTTACTGTATTGTATGGCTTATAATTCGAGCTATATTTTCCAGGGAGGCAGTGATGGATTTCTACAGAAGTTCACGCAAGAAACCGGAGCAAATTATTATCTTTCGGTACTTTTACTTAAAGAACTTACATTAAACAAACTACATCTTAACTATATTAATCTCCCTCATTAAGTTGTTGCGTAAGTTCTGTAACTGTGCTTTTTGTAGGGATGGCGTGAGTGAGTCTCAGTTCAACCAAGTTCTCAACATCGAACTCGAGCAGATGATCGAGGTTCTTTCTTATGAAACCTTAAATCGTTTGTTTGTGATCAGAGTCTGTTCTTTGGTTGGTTGTAATCGAAAGTGTGTGTATTTTCGTGCAGGCTTGCAAGTTTCTGGATGAGAAATGGGATCCCAAATTTATGGTGGTCGTGGCACAAAAGAACCATCACACGAAGTTTTTCCAGTCGAACGGCCCAGATAATGTTCCAGCAGGTTTACAATTCTGTCTCGTCAATGCACAATCAACCAACCCCATTGGAATTAATAACTGATTATTAATCCTGACCACTTGATTACATAATAACTTCTAGGGGCTATTATTCACTGATTATTAATCCTGACCACTTGATTACATATAACTTCTAGGGACTGTAATCGATACTGGAATATGCCACCCGAGGAACAATGATTTCTACATGTGTGCTCATGCTGGCATGATTGTGAGAGTCTCTTGATTAACTTTCATTTCTTGCATGGAAAAATTTCACAAATGCTTTCTGGGTTGGAGTATTATAATCGAACGTGTTAACGAAGGATGTGAATTTTCATACAGGGGACCACTCGACCGACTCATTATCACGTTCTGTATGATGAGATTGGCTTCTCTGCAGATGATGTGCAGGAGCTCGTTCACTCGCTATCCTACGTGTAAGAATATGTTTATAAACATAAATAACTAACCTCAGTTTTTCAACAAAAGAATTTTAATCGACACGGGCTGTACTTTTTTGTTACAGGTATCAGAGAAGCACCACTGCCATCTCCATAGGTAACGAAATTCAACACGACATAAAAAGTTTCTCATTCAAACTCGAAAACTTTTGCTTTTCCTAAACACTAACATTTACTGTGTTTATATAATATGTGCAGCTTACTCTACATTCTTTTTTTTTGAAAAAAAAATAAAAATTCTTCGGGCCCTTGGTATAATATTGTGATCGTTTGTCGGTGTTTTTCACGTGCAGTTGCTCCTATCTGCTACGCACACCTTGCGGCTGCCCAGATGTCACAGTTTATAAAGTTGGACGACGTTTCGGACAAATCGAGCCAGCACAGTGGAGGGACTTCGACCGGTGGAGGAGCTTCGGTGCCCCAGCTCCCGGTTCTGCATGAGAGGATCACCAATACAATGTTCTTTTGCTGAGGATTTTGAATGCATGATTTTTGTTCCTTTTTGTGTGTGAAACCTGTTAATGCTATTTCCACTACATACCCTGAAAAGCATTTGGTTCACTGTTTCTTTAATACCCTGAAAATTGACAGGCATTTTGTTTGATGGTTTTACTGTAGTTTCTATGTTTAACTTAGCTTTGTTTTGATCTTTCATTTGTACTTTTCTTCATTAAATTAAGTAAAATGAGCTTGTAAAACACCTTGCTTTCTAATAAGAACAATAATATTCATATCAGAAGAAAAAAAAAAGCTACACTTATAAAAAATTAACACTTGTAAAAACTCTACAGTCTACATTTAGGTAATGAGAGATTTGAAGTAATACATTTTGAGAAAAATATCAATATCTTTTTAAAAAAATATATGATTTAAGTAATATAGAAAAATAAATTAATACACAAAATAACTTATATGTCTTCATTATATCAAGATGTATTTTTATTTCTATTTTATCAAAATGTATAAACACTATATTCAGTATACAGTTCTTCTATGAACCAGATGGTTGGTTCCCTTATGGAACCAACCACAAATGACACAGTGCCACATGGGCCTGTCCCACATGAAAATCATGTGGGACAGCCCCATGTGGCACTGTCTCATTGGTGGTTGGTTCCATAAGGGAACCAACCATCTGGTTTCTTAGCAAAGTTGATTCAGTATAATAGAAGAAAAAAATTATAGGAAAGGAATGAATGACCGTTGTTATATCAAAAATCCAAAGTAATATTTGTAGAACGCAACTGTGGAGCATCGATCGTTTACAACGGCGACGTCAACTGGTGGCGCTCTCCGACTTTGTATATTCTCAGATCAACATAGCCTTCTGACCCTAAGTCCAGTATGAGATGAGATGAGATGAAGAAGAAGAGCAACGAACCGCAACAATTTGAGTTTTGCGTTGTTTGTAGATTAAACCATAACCAGGGTTGCCGCAATAATTACTTCCCTATTCACAAAACTTCGCTCGCCACGTTCCTTACGCGCTTCTAGTGTAAGCTCACCCATGTTAAGTCCTTCCTCAATAACCCGACACCTATCCGCCCCGACCTCGCGCACAAAAATCGCCTCTGGTGCATCTTCTGCAATTGTTGTTACACAAAATAGTGTTTTGATTACAGCGGGAACCTATGAACTGACTGAAGTGTTCAGTTTGTACAATTTGAACTAAAACAAAATCAAAAATTACAAAAGATAAAGCGAAAACAGCCGAGGCGATTGCTCTTTCCGCAAGACAAAAACGCCCCGTATAGTGCTGACGGGTTCAGGCGTCTCGTCCCCAAAGATACAACGGCTTACGTCTCGAATACTGTAGCACACCAGAATTCAAGCTCCGACGAACTAGAATGAAGTCGAGAACAAAACAGTATGATATGATGCGTGAGGCTTTTGAGAGTATTCAGAGTGCATGCAATGTTATATCCTTCTCTGCAGCTCTAAGTCCTATTTATAGGACTTGCACATCTTGATGGAAACTAAGAGTTACATCAGCCACTTAAGGCTGAGATAAATGGGCACCATTAACCTTAAAACGTTTCAGGTGATAAAACACCATTAACCAGGAGGAGTTAACACCATTAACCCCATTAACACCATTAACACCATTAACCCTTCATCATCTCAGCTGTTACATTTCTCGTGAAGAGTCTGGTGTCCAGATTCATTGTACATGGAGAGGTTTCACTCGGGTTGGGTCAAAACCCGAGTCCGAATCCAAATTGAATTTTTCAGTTGGGCTTAAAATTGCAAATAAATCTATTACTATAAAAAAGAGTTAAGAAAAAATAAAGTTTAGTAAGTTTTTTCCCTCCAAAAAAATTTGAAAATTACCTTTTTTGGTAACTTTTTTTGAAGTATTTTCACTTATCCCGCCTACACAAATAATTTAATTTTGAATGGGATTTATGGATATCTGATTGATATATTTTAGGATAAGATTTGGTTTTTTTTTTGTGAAATCAGACTTTCACTTGCTTTTCACCTATTTTAACTCCTCTTTTTTAGGATGAGATTTGGTAAAAATTTTTGAAATCCGATTTATAAAAATCTTGGGTTGATTCATTATCTTTCTTCTCTTTCATACGTAGGTAAAAAATATATATATATATATATATAAATCTTGGGTGGAAAATTTGAAAATTAATCATGGAGAGGGTGTTTGTCTGTGGCCGGTGACGAACTCTCGGGCTTCGCTGCGGCATGCCATTGCAAAGAAGATGACCGAACATCGCGAGGGCTTTCCGGCGAGAAGCTATTGGTCGCGTTGGACGCACGGTGGCCGTATTTTTTTTTAGTCGTGTCTGGAACGGTCTTGGTGGTATCTTGCGGCTGTGGAAACCTAAGTCATTTATGGCCGCGCGTGGGACGGGCTGCGGCTGTACGAGGTTGTTTGCTAATTGAGCGGAGAAAAAGATCGAGTGGTGCTGGATGAGGACGGACCAAATCTCGTGAGGATGTCGATCGACTGAGATTGTTTGACTATTGTGAAACTCGGATGATGGGTGTTGGTCGGAGATGGCAGGGCTGATGTTTCCAATATAATGATCAATGACGGGGCCGGGCTGCTTTTCCAAGGACATGCTGAAGGTCGACGATGGCCACAAGTCGCCAAGGCTGGTCGCACTCCTTCTCGGAGAAGGCGACTGAAGATTCTGAGCACCGGTGACATGGACGAACGACGATAAAAGATTTGTCTTGACGAGTTGAGTTTTTTGGGCCGAAACTATAGAAGTCTAGAGTTTTCTTTTTAACGCTTTTTGTAAGAGAAATCTGGGCATTTGTGGAGTCCATAACATATATGAAATTAAACAGTATTGAACTGAGACTATTTTGTCTTTGGTTATATTTGTTTATTTATTTCATATTTTTGACATTATTTATTTAATTAATACGCCTCATATTTTTTATGGATGTTGCTTATTAATTGTGTAATTTATTACCCCCTCCGTTTTAAATTGTTTTTTTTTCGTTTGAGCCTTTATTTTATTTTACTTATTATTTGTCGTTTAAGATAACTTTGGACTTATTAATTTGATAATTATCTTAAATCTTAAAATTTTGTAGTTCAGTTCCTGGTTGTTATATTTTTTATGAAGCCACGTATCTTTATCTATAAACTCTCATACTTCAATTATTAAAAAAGTATTCAGATAAGATTAGGAGATTTAGAAAAATCTAATGATAAGGATAAAATAACTCATTCCTTAAAAATCGTAATTTTTCTTTCTTTTGTGCTAAAACGACCTAGACGACTACAAGAGGGTCAACTTCAACAAGTTCCGACAAATGATGAAGTACGGGTTCGCACCGCTGGGATGACTTGGGTGCGTCAGTTCATCTTCTTCTTTTTATATTATTATCATTATTTAAAAATTATGTTTTGATGTGGAAATTACAATTGCTGTAATGTATCGATTTTGATTCTTGCCTCATATGTAAAGGAAACAATCACACACAAAGTGAGGTGTTGTGACACGCGGGGTGCCGATGAGCAGGTGGCCGATCTAGCGGAGCAGAGGATTGATAAGGTGTTTATGGTGATGTAAATTTGGGGGTTATGATTTTTTTACGCGCACACAAAAAAGAAAAAAGTGCTTTTTTGTGTGTTTGATGTATGCATATGATTGTCTGAATATAAAGACGAATTTGAAGATGCTCAAGTAAGTGACTAATTTGAAATTCTTTTTAACGAAAAGTAGACATTTTTTTATCTATGAATATGCAAATATTTGGATTTTAGTGGGAGGTTTTGCAATCATTAATGGTTAGTTTGATTCAAAAGTATGAAATATTTGTGTTTAGATTTGGTTTGAGTTAATTGATATGTTTTTCACTGGTATGATTTTATATTTTGTATTTTTTTTCCAATAATGAGATGTTAAATATAAATAATTATAGTTAAAAAAATAATAAGTAACATATCCGTCCGTGCATTGCACGGGATGCACACTAGTTTACAGCAAAAAGATATATAGTGATTGGGCCCAATGCCCAAGCCCAACCGCCC